TTCAATTCAATTCAAAAATACTTTGTTAATCCCAGAGGGAAATTAATTTGATTAAGAATTGATTCTAATCGGTCGCTCTGCTAAAAACAGAGTCAAAGGAGTCAGAGTTGGAAGTTGAGCACAATTTCCCGAATGCACAACAGGGAGGGTAGGGTCTTTTTTGGAAGTGACAGATGCTTTTCAGACCTGACGTCGCCCATGTCTTGTCCCTTTGTTCTGACATCCTCACTTGCAAAAACAGAACAAAATAAAAACATGCGTGTAAAGAAAATGGTGACAAAATGATTTATTATTATTTCTGTTATGGAAATTTTATGTTTATTAATTCTTGATCATTGACTCAATCAACTGAACGTAATATGTATTGCTCTATGCCTCCTTGCATGCCCACTTCAGACACACACACACACACACACACACACACACACACACACACACACACACACACACACACACACACACACACACACACATTCTTGGACCCCCCCCCCCCCCCCCCCCCTCTCTCTCTTTCATTCCTTTCTTATCTCTTGGTATAAATAAACTCTGTGACCAGATGTTCGGGGCATTTGCCTCATGCATTACGCCACAGTTATAACTGTTTGCCTTGTCTGCTCATTGTCTCCTTTTTCTCTTCGACTATAGGAAATGGGCTATTGATAAACATATTGATAAAATCCATGACAATTTAATAATTGTTTATTGATGGCTGCAGTTTTTTTTTTGTAAAACTCACCACCAGGGCCTAGTTCTAACGGATTAGGTTTAACTTTAATGATTTCCATCTATCCATCATGCGCAGACACACATTTAACTGATCGTTTATCACAAGTTCCACATGCTAAAACACCAGAAAAAGGCAGAGCAGCATGTGAGAACCTGTACAGCTTATCAAAATGACCAAAACTTGGTGGGTAACGCTATCCACCAGTTTGAGGCCACATTTAATCATTTATAGTTGCAAAACATTTAATAACCAAAAACATTCAATTTAGGCTCTGCTGATAAAATGTAATTAAAGGGACTCTAAAGAAGTTTGAAGTTTTTATGATCGCGATCGCCAATCAGGCCTAACGCATAACTGCAGCTTCAAAAGTAAGCTCGTGCATGAGGTGCGCACGCTGTACGTGCACACTCCTTAACAAAAATAACAGCTGAGACAGTCCCGTGTGTGTGTGTGTGTGGCCCGGAGGACAGAAGAGCACAGCAAATTAATAAAAATAATGTGCCTCTGTCTCTGCAGCTGCACTGTCTCGCTGGCCCGAACGTGCAGTGTGTGTGTGTGTGTGTGTGTGTGTGTGTGTGTGTGTGTGTGTGTGTGTGTGTGTGTGGCTCGGAGGACAGAGGACAGGAGAACGTGCAGCTAATTAATTAAATAATTTGGTTCTGTACCTTTCTCTTCAGCACAGCCGACAAAGGTTTAAGATGGGTCAGTCCTCCTGCATGCTCAGATCATTCCCTTCCCTTGCTTGAAAAATTGTTCCAAAATGAAAGTTGAACCCACATCTGTTTTATCTATTAATTCAATGCTGTTCGGCAAGTGTCAAATAAAAATTTGGGCGTCTTATTACTGTAAAAAATATATCATTAATGTAAAAAAGAAACTCAAAATGGCTAATTATATTCACAACTGGAGTCAAACCCAGGTCTTCTGCATGAGAGTCAGACATCTTACTAGGTGAGCTAAAGCATCAATGACGCTCACACCATCTGTAACATTTATATCCTTGATGACACCTGAAACAACGTCAATCCAAAGAACGGTTCGAAGCGAAAATGGCTATTTTGTGGCTAATTTGCAGGAAATATCTAGAAGAAAGTAGCTAAGGGTCCTCAGAAATGTAGCTAGGTTCATCACTAGGCGTTAGGAACAGCGACAAAGTCGCTGAGTTGACACTAGCTCTTCCTCTGCTGTTAAAGCTACTGATAGCAAATGCTACGGGCGATGCCTGAGCGTGAACGCGCATGAAGCAGCCTGCTCGACCCGAGCAGCTCTCTTTTTCTGTGATTTTACAGAAAAACAGGCAATCACAGTAAAAATGCCAGGGCTCATTCTACAGGACCAGGGCATTGCAGGAGAATGTATGAAGAAGACATTTATTATTACTATACAAGTTTTGACCGTCAAACTTCCTTATAGTCCCTTTAATGAAATTACAAAATATAATTTATCAAAACAAGTAACTAAAACCAGCAAAAACTGGCTATAGGTTTCTAAAACTGTTTACCGGAGTGGATAGCAGCTTAAAAAGTAAAAATAATCAGATATTACTAAACCTGTTTCAGGTTATTTTAGCTGAAACGCCATCAGAATTGACAGAAATTGAGTAATTCTTCTGAAACAAATAATGTTGCTTTGTACCCTTTAACTCTAATCATGTTGTGTGTGTTTGTTGCTCTCTCCAGTTTGATGGAAGCTAGTGACAAGGAGCCCCCGCCTGTTTGATCCTGACCTGCTCTCATTACTGTGATGGCGGCATCGCAGCTAACTCGCGTTACATGTCATCTAGACGTCCTCAGAAACCAGACAGCGTAATATAAGAAACGCTTTTCACGGTAATATAAGTCCTGGCAACAACGACGTGTAAAATGTGTAAAACACCCAATGGGGAAAAAGGGGCTGGAGCACATGGAAAAACACCAGCAGCCGAATCAGGAAAACCAGTGAAGAAACCGGGGAGTAGAGGTGCACCGTGACCTCAACACCATGACATTTGATTTAGGCATATTTATGAAGAAAGTTGAGAACAAAAAAAAATTACATTATCAAAATAAAATGTTTTTAAACCAGCTAGAAGTTCAAATGGAACAAATTATATTTTATCCTCCTGAGACCCTAGCTCATATAATCATTATCTTCATAGACGTATATGATTTATTATTATTTAGTAATTGTAATGTTTGAAATTTATCAAGACTGTTTTGTTCAGTTAATAAAATAATACAACTTTCATGTTTTTGAGAGCTGACTCGTCTGAAACAGCTAGAAAAGTATCACATAAAAAGTCCAGCTCTCAGTTAATAAAAGTATTTAATTTTAATAATAATCAGCTTAAATCAGTTCCTTAAACCAAATCATTCTCCCACTTTTAAAGGCAGAGGGAAAATTATGCATGTTTGCAAAGTAATGTTGTTTCAATAACTTATTTTATTAACCTCCATTAACATGAATTTGTTGTGATTTAAAAGAAAAAAACTATTCTAACCCTTACAGATTAGTCAACTCTCTTAAAAATGCAAAAAATAAATAAATTGAAAGAAATTTTTAACTAACTTCTAAAAAAAAAAGAAAGAAAAACAAAAAAAAGTTGAAACTTAAAGTCAAGAGTCTCAAAATGTGTCATGGTTGTGCCTTTTTCTCTGCTGGTTGTGCACCTAAGTGTTTTGCAGGTGGGTGTGTCGGAGAGTCACAGCTGCAGCTGATTTCCATCAGCAGGACCAGAGGATTTAAGGAGCGATGTTGCCACACTTCAGCGCCGGTTGATACTCTATTACTGGGTACTCTAGCCTCACCACGTTCTGTTCCTGTTTGAGAACTCTGAATAGTGTGTATTCCTGTGCTCATTTAAATCTTCCCTGTCTGCTCCAGTACCAACCCTGGATTCTAACCTCGGTTCCTGTCTGCCTGAAGTGTGCCATACTTTCAACGTCGCTCAGCTCCTCTGGCCTTCCGCTCTCCACCACTCACCTGTCCTGGATCGTACACTTCCACCTGTTACTCCTCTCCACCAGACAATCTCCAGCTCAGACCTGGCTTGCCTCCCTCTCCTGCTCAAACCGGAGTTAACCCCCCTGGCCCAGTTTGGATCAGCGCCCTTCGTTCTCGTTAATTTTCTTTATATTAAAACATTTGTATTTTTACTTACCTCTCTCCGTGTGTGATTCTTTCATGTGGGTATAAAGACTTCAACCCAGCATGACAAAATAATTTTAAAAAGCTCTAACTTGAAGAGAATAAAATATGTGCAATAAATCAATGGATTCTGGTTCTTAGGAGGTTAGGTATCAAACATTTAAGAAAGGCTTGATTTGTTATTTGCAAACAGATTTAGGTCTACTATGACACACACACACACACACACACACACACACACACACACACACAGAGGACAATATTAAGTGCATCAAAGTTTTAGGTAAGATTTACAGTGTGAAGCCACAGAAGTCCTAAATAAAGGTGCCCTGAGCCGCAGCGCTGCTGAGGTCAAACCCAGCTCAGACACTCTGCCCACACTGCAGAACTGTCTCACCGAACCGCAGAGGCAGAAAACCCTTCAGGTGTGTGGGAGACAAGCAGAGGAAAAGAGCGCCGTTTCATTCAGCCACTGAGAACATTAGACCGTCGGTGTTTGTGGAGGGAGAAGAAGAGGCAGGAATTTCTTTACACTAGAGAAACGTGTGAGGAGAAGGTCAGGAGAAGAAGAGCGGACCGGTCAGAACCATCACTGAGCAGATTTTAAATGTGTCGTGTGAGATCAGTGAAACAGAGGACGGAGCTGGCAGAAGGTGTCTCAGATGGAAATGGGTGGATTTAGGATTCTGGCAAAGGTGCATGAATACTTCTACCCATTCCTGTCTGGAAAATCAGATTAGGATGGCAAGATACATTACTATCAGTGATATTTACCACAATATCTGTACATTTAATCCCAATACAAGTTTAAATCTAAGAAGATTATGTTGATTTATGGGCATTTATTAGCTCAAAACTAAAATATTGTTTTATTATTTATTATTTTAATTGATGTATTTATTTATTTAAGGCTTTGGGACATTTAGGTAAAGAACAAAAATATGTCATTGTAAGTGTCTTATGGTTCTTCAAAATTCTGCACCAAATATTTGATTTCAAACAAACAACAGCATCAATCCCAACAGGAGGTATCAGATACGAGCAGAAAAACACATGCAGAGGAAAGAAAAGTGATCACGGATGTTTTCTACTCCAACACCACACACACACACACACACACACACTCGTAGCTGCAACTCTCACACACCTGTACTTCATCCCCGTGTGTTTCCCCGTGGACTCCTTGAGGGAGATGTGGCGTGGCGTGAAGGAGCCGAAGCTGCGAGCGATGATAGCCACGGTGCGGAACTTGGCTCGGGCTTGGTTGACCACGTTGGGGCTGGTGGTGCTCTGCTTGCTGTGATCTCCATTGCCCCTCTTCAGGTTGTGGTCTGTGCAGGCGATGGACACCTGCATGGCTGAGCTTCAGCAGGTGGGACAGGTTGTGTGGAAACAGGGAAGCCTGCTTCCTTTGTGATGTGGAAATGTTCTCGTCTCTTCACTTTTCAAGTTCCTGGCTGTGGTCTTGCTGATGCATCACTTTATTCTTCAAACCAAAACAAGCCTGCAAAAGCGTTTCTTCTCCCTTTTCCAGTCTTCCTTTGAAGAAGTGCAGGTCAGTCATCAAAAACCTGGAACAAAAATACAATCACTCCTCAGTTCTTGACAGGATCAGTCCCTCACAGGTTTTCTCTCTGCTTGTTTCTGATGCTGAAGCTTCAGGATGTTTCTTTCTTTCAGGATTTGAGCTGCAGAGTAGAAACCAGCAGCGGTAGAGATGAAGCAGAGGAATGCCAGAGAAGCGCGGAGAGAGGCAGAGATGTGAGCTGGGCGATGCGCTCTCCCTGCTCTAACTGTGGGAACGGTGCGCTAGCAATGCCATGTGAGAGGAGAGGGGAGGGGGGTGAAGGAGGAGGGGACAGGGTCAGAGAACAGATGAGGAAGGATGAAGAGAGAAACGAGGGGGGCAGTAGCTCTCTGGTCCTGGGTGGGTGCACCACCACATTTCTGCCATCGGCACTTTTGTCCATCTTCTTCTTCCTTTTTCCTTTTGGCTTTTCAGTGTTGATGTGTGTCACTGATGTGAGCCTGCCCCAGTTTCTGTGGTATTAGCTCAGTGCTTGATGTTTGGATGCTTGGATATGTTTTTCTTCCTCCTGTTGTTGTTGATTCTATCAGCAGGGCAGCTCCGTCTCACAAAGAAGACCTTCGGGGAGCTAAAACGCTCTCCCTCATCAGCTGCTGTCGGTTTATCTTCCACTACTGGTCCTCTTGTTGTTCCTTTATCATCCGTCTCTAAAGTCTTTTTACTCTTCGGCTGCTTTTCTCATCTGCACCCTAGTCCAACAAACCAAACTCAAACCTACTCCACATGTTCTCAAGTTCTGTAGGAACCTTGTAATCACTCACTGATTCAAATCTGATGTGTTGGCAGAGAAAAGGCATCTATAGATGTTACATATAAAAGGCAGGAAGAACCAGTCCTAGGACTCAGAGGCAGTTTCTTATAAGCCTACAAACAGGTTCTTATTGGGTCCATCTGAGGACTGTTCTGTTGTTGTCTTTTCAGTTATTTTAATTTTATTTGGCTTCGGATCAACGAAAATCCCCTCAGTTTCACATTCTTATTTAAAAGAGCTCCTCTGTTGGTTACCCTTAGGTTTCCTGGGGAGTGTTGTAAAGCAGTTCCCCATCGGGACAACAGAGGGTTTAGCACTTTTCTGGGGAACATTTGAGACTTTTTAACACAAACTGATGTGTCCCTGATTCTCCTCCACCTCCTCATACAGCCACTCGCCACCTCCAAACCCACTTTTCTTGTCATTTCCTTCCACGATATAAAAAGTTAGCCGCGTTTCTTTGAATACCTTCCGTCACAGGTGTGTAAACTTTCATATCGTCTTGCTTCTTCTGCGATATAAGTTACCCAATCAAACAATTGGCTGACTTGTTTTTCAGTCCATGCAAATGCATGAAAAAGTTGTATGCAGTTATAAATCGGAGTCGCATTGTTGAGATAAAAAGACGAATTTCTGCAGATCTAGCAAACCCCCCAGATGCAGCTCCAAACCAAAGCCAACACGGGGATAAATAGATGAGGAGAAGAAGGTGCACTATCAGAAGCAAACCAGAGAATAAGATAAAAGTTTCAATCAGATGTCAGAAGAGAGAGAATTTAGTGTGAGTGTTCTGTGATTTTTCTGAGGTGTCAAGTGGAGGTCAATGGAGCGCAGTGCTCCCTCCAGTTCTGTGTGTGTGTGTGTGTGTGTGTGTGTGTGTGTGTGTGTGTGTGTGTGTGTGTGTGTGTGTGTGTGTGTGTGTGTGTGTGTGTGTGTGTGTGTGTGTGTGTGTGTGTGTGTGTGTGTGTGTAAGATCATGTAAAATAAATATCAGTACTTCTGCATTTCTCACTGTAAATATGACAAAGCAGGAGGAGCAGACGTAGTTTTCTCCACAAGCTTTAAATTTCTCCTACAAAACAACCATATTTCAGACATCTTCATGACTTAGCCTTAAAAGGATGAGCCTGAATAAAGCAAAGAAAGAAAATCAAGTAAAATTGAAATATACTGTAGAGGGACAAGAAGAAATCCATTGTTGACAGAAGGACATAAAGAGTCCCATTTGCAGTTTACCAGGTGTCATGTAGGGACACAGCAAACGTGGCAAAACATTGCAATATATTCTTCCCTTTGTTCTGGCGTTTGATCCAAATGTTCTTGTTTGGAGTAAAAAATCTGTCAATGGGGTAAGCTAAAGTTGCTTGGCTAGAACTCTTAAGACAGCTCATAAATCTAACCTTAGATTATTGAGCTATTTTTGCGTTCCTTGGCCAAATGCACACGGAGACATTTTAAAAGACAACCGTACAGGAGCAGTGCCAGGGTTTTGTTCCTGCAGTTGCTTTACAGTTGCTTAGTGATTGTTAGTGGTCCCTGTTCTCCGTGGATGCAGACTGAAGACCACGAGGGGTTTATCAAGGGTTGGGGTTGCTAAGCCATTGTTTGACCGAATATTACCATTGTATTAGTAATCTTAAGCTAACGCCTGGCGCTGCCTATGCTACTAGAGATTCTGCCCCACCACTGAGATCTGTCCATGGGTCATGGCCAGAATGTGCATTCACATGTATAGGATGGCTTTCCAGGTTATAAAAATTGGGCTTTGTGTTACTTTCTTAAAAATCAGTTTCTGCAAACCCCAAAGTGAAATGTGGTTCTACAATGGGAGGTTAAACACAAACGCACATCAACTTAAGCTTCACTCAACAATTCTACAGTTATGTGCTATTTTGTGTTGGTCTATCACAGAAAACATCAATAAAACATTTAAGTTTTGTGGTTGTGAGGGGTCAAAGCTGGTAAAATTCAAGAAGAATGAGGCCCTGGACCCACTCCCAAAGGCACGTGCCGGGGGGGGGGGGGGGGGGGGGGGGGGGGCACAAAACAGGCAGCACTGTGAGGGTCATGTTCTTTGATTTCTCCAGTGCATTTAACACAATCCAGCCTGGTGTACTTTGCCAGAAACTCCAGAAGACACAGGTGGGGGCCTCAACTATCACCTGGATTAAAGACTACCTGACAAACAGACCACAGTTTGTGAGGCTGAAGAACTGCACATCAAACCAGGCGATCAGTAACATTGGAGCACCACAGGGGACTGTACTCTCACCATTCCTTTTCACCCTGTACACCTCAGACTTCCAGTATAAATGAGAGACCTGTAATCTACAGAAATACTCAGACTGTCATGGTCTGCGTCTCACCTCATGTGTGTCCTTTTGTCCTCCATTCGTCTCTAGGTGCTCCTTTTGTGTCTTCTAGCGCCCTCATGTGTCGTGTCTGCGTCTTCCTCGTGTTCCCCATTTGCCCTCTAGGTTTCCCTCCTCAGACCTCTCTCCCAGGTCCTGTGCTCTCTTGGCCCCCTCTTAGCCACGCCCCTGTAGTTTCTTTCTGTAGTGTTTTCCTTTAGTGTCAGCTTCCCCTTAGAATATTAGTTATGGTTCATGCCTTCTGGTCTTTTGTTTTTCTCTTAGGTCATTTTCCTTTGTTACAGCCTTTCATTATTTAGTGTGTTTTTTCCCACCAGTGTTTTCTTCCTCCTCCCTGAGTTAGTAATTGTGTTCACCTGGTCCCTCTCCCCACACACCTGCAATTCATCTCCCTCTCATCTTCCCAGTTTATATAAGCCCTGTCTTGTCTTTGGTTTGTGTCGGTCCATTGTTTTGTTGTCAACGTTTGTTCGTGCTCTGTCTGAGCGTTTCATCTCTAGGTCTTCGTGCTCTTAGTTAGCTTCTTGTCTCTAGGTTTTAGGTACTCTAAGGGAGCTTTGGTTGTCCTGTGCTCCAGGACTTTTGGACTTTGGCTCACTGCCTTGGATTAATTTTTGTTCTTTTATCCTGCAATAAAAGGATTTTTACTTTGAATCAACTTCTGCCTCTTGTCGTCTGGGTAATCTGCATATTTGGGTCCTAAACATCCCCTCCAACGTGACACAGATGACTCTGCAGTTGTCGGGTGTATCAGAGATGGACAGGAAGCTGAGTACAGAGAGCTGGTGGAGCACTTTGTGGCATGGTGTGGAAACAATCATCTGACCTTGAACGTGAACAAAACAAAGGAGATGATTTTAGACTTCAGAAGAAACAGGGTGGAGTCAAACACCGTTTCCATCATGGGAGAAGAAGTGGAGGTGGTTGAGGAATACAAATACCTTGGAGTTCACCTGGACAACAGACTGGACTGGAGAAAGAACAGCGAAGCCGTTTACAAGAAGGGACACAGCAGACTGCACTTCTTGAGGACGCTTAGGTCCTTCAATGTCTGTAGCAAGATGCCGCACATCTTCTACAAGTCTGTTGTTGAGAGTGTAATCTCTTCAGCCATCGTCTGTTGGGGTAGCAGCATCAGAAGCAGGGACCTGAAAAGGCTCAACAGCCTCATAAAAAAGGCTGGTTCTGTTCTGGGGACGACTGTGGAACCACTGGAGGAGATAATGCAAAGAAAGATTCTCCAGAGAATCAAGAAAATGATGGACAACCCTGAGCATTCTCTTCACAAGACTGTCCGACAATGGAAGAGTGTCTTCAGTCAGAGGCTTCTTCAGTTTCGCTGCAACACTGACCGCTACTGGAGATCCTTCCTGCCAACAGCCATTGTAATATACAACAACTCTTTGATGACTTGATTATTATTATTATTCTGAGCTACTACAGCAATCAATTTCCCTCTGGGATTAATAAAGTATTTTTGAATTGAATTGAACTGGAATATGGGAGAGTCAAGCTTATAAGCTGTAGCTGTCTGTTGTTGTTTAACGAGCAGAAACTACTCTGAGTACCATTGTTGCTTAGTTTCTCCGATGTAAAGGTCTGGACAGTCCTCACTACACTGGACTGCATAAACGACCCCACTGAGCTTCTGTTTGGGTGTTTTGTCTTCTGGATGGACCAGTTTTTGTCTGAGGGTGTTGTTGGGTTTAAAGTTTACCGGGATGTTGTGTTTGGAGAAGTTTCTTCTAAGTTTCTCGGAGACTCCTGCCACGTATGTGATGATGGTGCCTTTGTGTAAAGGGTGTTGTTAGGTTGGTAGCAGAGCTCTCATGTTTAGTGTTAAGTTCAGTGAGATCATGGAATGGGATCAAGAATGTTCTACAGACAGGAAAAAGATCTCAGCTAACATAGCTGTAGATCACACTGGATACGTTTCTGTGGTTGCATTTATTTTACATTTATTTTACTACCTCTTACAGCTGTCTTTAGTAAGCACAAAGTCAATATGGTTGTACACCTGTGCAATAGCAATAAATTATCTTGACTCCTGTTAAATGTACTTCCTGAATGAGTGACCTTTTAAGGCTAAAATAACAAAATGACAAATACAGACAGAAGGAAAATTATTTCTTCTTTTGTAACTCATTGCATCACTACCTGGTATCAGAACAGGACTCGGTATTGGAAGATAATCAAAAATCAAACAACTTGGACTCAAATCAGGGGCAAAAATGTGGTTGTAACATCGCTAGATATAAGTCAGCTTTATAAACTAAAACTATTATTTATGAACTAACATTAACACTAACAATAAATGATATATTTTTATTATGTTGTTTGAACCACGGCTAATGGAGAAGCAGCTCACTTAAGATCAATATCTCAGCCGTGTCCCGATAAGTAACTGGAGCAAGCTGAAATCCTTCTCCTCTCTGATGAAGTGTGGGAAAATGTTAAAGTGTGATTCTGTGCTGCAGTGAGTGTATCACATGTAGATATTCTTTCATTTCTACCAATACAGACTGGTAGACCTTTATAAAAAATCCACTGATTACCTTTCCTTATCCATTCTCTTTTTCCCTTTCCTCTCGTTTTTATTCAATCACAAATGTTACTTTTCCCATCATTATGATACTTTAATGACTTTTTAATGATTTTTATTTCGAATTTTCAATCTCTTGAAGCGCCTTGAGGTTTTAATATTGAGAGGTGCTATATACAAGATTGTTTCTTCTTCTTCTTCTTCAGAAGGCAAGCAGGTACAACAATCCCGACATAATAGCTGCTCAGTTTTGTCGAGGAGGAGCAGACTGTCCTAAGGGAAAGACAGAATCTTGAAGGCCGATGACGAAGACACTGGTCAGCCTTCTCAGAAGCCGTAATAATCTACCAAAGCAAACACCCTTCTCTGTCCAAATTTGGACATTTCTGTCATCAAATCCTTGGAATGTGAGTGGATATCAAATTTTTGACCCGAGGAGCCGGTCCATCCTGTGCTGTGGGACGTTTTTATGTTGATGGTGTTTTTGGGTTTCTCACAAGTAAAGGTCTGTGCACTCCTCCTCTGGTTGGGTTAAACCCAAACGGATTCAGCAGTTGGACTGGAAAGGCAGCTGCGTCCCCTCATGCACTGTAGAATGTCCTTTTGAGCTTTTATTTATTTATTTTCAGTTCAGTGTCTCTGTGATACTTAACAGCTGCTGGCTTTGGTTTCTGCCGTTTCTCTGATTACTCTGTTTTGTTTTTGTTCTCCTGGCATCTGCCTCTAAGCACCAAGTGATAAGACCCAAAGCTCTGAGTGCAAGGCAGTGACTGTGCCCTACTTA